CCGCGGTGCGCACGTGGACCTGGGGCCACCGCGCCCCCGGGACCGGGGACCCACTGGGGATTCCCCGGAGAGGGACACGCGCCACACACCCACCAGCACGCGCAGCCTTACACGCGTGACTCGCGGGCACACGGAGTGCTTCGCCAGGTGACAGTCGCCAAGTCCACACTCCCGTTCAGGACCGGGGCTCAGAGGCACTGTTAATTAAAACAGCTCTCCGCTCTCCCCTGCCCCAGGACCTAACCCTGAACTGGCTCCAGGGATTAAAGATTCCTAGAGGGCACTGATCAAGTGTGCTTACTCAAGGGCCAGATAGGCTTGAAATCCTGGCTAGGGAGCCCTTTGAGTCTCAGCTTCCAGTCCGCAAAGCCCTGCGCCCTAGGGCTGTGAGAGAATTCAGTGAAAGGCCCAGGTGAGTACTTACCTTGCTGGCAGGCCCCTAGCGAAGTGGCGCTTATTGGCAGGTGTACTCCATTGAGGTGAGGGTCATTTCCTGCTTTTCCCTACCCTGACCCCACCCCTTCCTGTTCCATCCATGCAAATAGGGGTCTCATCTGGGAAGGCTGCAGGCTGTAGGCGAGGACAGGGATGCCAGGCTCCCTCCTGAGTGCCACCTTCAAGTGTCTGGACATCCAGTGGGCCAAGCAGTTCAGGGTGCCCTGGGGGAGGGGGGAAGCCCTTGACCACCTCCAGCTTCCCATTGGCACAGCTGAGTGCTTCGTCCTCTGCCTTCACGCTCAGCTCCTGTGGTCACCTGGGAAGAGCTGAGCCCATGGCTGGAGGCGACATCGAGTGATAAAGGCCATTCAGGGAACACATGTCACATGCCAGATCCTGCTCTGGGTGTTTTGCGCACTTGCTGTGAAAACACAAGCATCACACAGCCCTGCAAGGCAGAAGCAGCTAAGGAACTGACACTCAGAATAAGGGTTGCAGGCTTGGATCGTAGTCAGAGGTGCTCAGGTCCAGATCTGCTCAGTTCCAAAGCTCATTTCTTTCCACTGCATCTTTCTTTATCACAGAAAGGGGGAAGGCAGCTGCATTTAGGAGGCCCTTTAGGAGGCAGCTCAGACTGTCTCAAAAAATAGTGAGCCTCCTGTTTCCAGAGACATTTAAACAGATACTAGCTTGAGGGAGTTCATGGGACAGGGAGGTATAAGGAGCACATTGGAGTGGGCCCAGAGTGGCAAACTCAAACACCCATGTGAGACAAGCAGTTACCCTCCCGAAGTCTGCTGGGAAAGTGTCTGGGCTCCAGCCAACATTGCCGGTGGCCATGTGTGCCTAACTTTCTGCGTTTTTAAGAGTAGTTGGAAATCTGGAATGTTTATGTGGTGTCTCCTGACTTTCACAGTTGACAGCCAACATGAACATTCTGACACCAGGATGGGCCCCCTGTGAATGAGACCATGCCAAGACTAGATCACGATGCAAGGCTCCTCAGACTGAGGAGTCCAGGGCCGGGGATCCTGCCAGGGTGTCTGAGGTGCAGGCAGGAACACAGCCTGTGATGTTGCAGTCACAGCACTCTTGGGCACCCCTGGCCCAGATGGAGCTCCCAGGAATACTTGATGGGGGGGGCTTTGGAAATGGCAGGGGTTCTGCATCCCCAGGTGGGTGTGGAACCAATCTGACCTTCTGGTGGATTGCCCGTTTTACCGGTGAGGAACACCAAGATTGCAAACTTTGGGGAGCTGGGGCATCCTTGAAAGACTGGGGAGACCAGGCCGGGTTCTCAGGAGTCTTCTCACAATCCCAGACCTTCTTTATGAAAAAATGAGCAAGTGGGACACTAGAGCAGTGGGGGTTGCAGGCGTCTTCCTGCCCCTGGGAAAGGTGCACCCTCTCCCTAGGTCTCTCCCTCCAGCTCCTCCCTTCTGCTATCTTGTCTTTCAGGGAACAACTCGGGAAGGAAGAAGCCACCTGCTCCTGCTCCTGCAGAAACTGAAATGGCAGGGCCTTCCTGTGTGCTCCCGTGTGGCCTGGCAGCCCAAGGCAGTGGGCGGGGGCTGGGTGGGCCTGGGGCCAGGCAGTTCCAGTAGCACCATTTTGGTCCCTGAGCAATTTCCACCCTCCCACCCCTCCTCATTGAGCCCCTTAGAGCTGAGTTTTTGTTTGTTTGTTTGTTGTTGTTGTTTTTGGAGACAGGGTCTCACTATGTAGTTGGGACTGACCTGGAACTCACTATGTAGCCCAGGCTGGTCTCGAACTCCCAGCGATCCTCCTGCCTCAGCCTCCTGAGTGCTTGGATTACAGGCATGCGTTACCTATTTCAAAATCAAATAGATTGGGGAGGACCAGGGACTGTGAGGCGGCATGAGCGAGATCTGTGACTGTGTACTTATTTTGTCTTCTGTCCCTCACCGGATTCTGAAAGGTGGAGATGCAGAGGCCATGCAGGCTCCAGTCCTTCTGGTGCACCACAGGGCCCCTGGAACATTTGACAATGACCAATTAACCAATGAACTGTTGTCCACCCTGTGGGCCAAGGATACCCAGTAGGAACTGCCGGAAGTCCTTTCTGGGCTTGGGCCCTGTGTTGCAGTGCACTAGCCGGACCTCCCAAGGAGGCTGGGCATGGATTCTTCAAGAACCAAATCTAAAGCAGCGCTTGCCCTCTCCTGGCAGTCAGCACCCTGGTACACAGGGACCTTAAGGCACAGAGCAGGTGGGTAGGCAGGGCTGGGCAACCCCTGCATGGGTCCCTCCCTGCTTCCGGGTTCTTCCTTGACCCACATCTTTTCCTTTGGGAGTAGGGAGAGGAGTCGAACGGAGCACCCGGCAAACCTAGACGTGTGCACTCAGGAGGTGCCTTCTCACACCTCCGTTTCAGGAGCTACCGTTCCTTAACTATAAAAGTGAGGATAATGCCAGCACTCCATGGGTTGCTGTGGGGCATGAGTAGGATGATCAGAAGCCTATAAGGAGACCCAAGATGGGAGCTTGCTCTGAGCCTCCCTGTAACCCAAGGGTGCACCATTCCAGGTGTGGCCAGAAGATGGGTGTGCACAGGAGTGTGAAGGGGGAGGGGCGTTGGCTGATGGTTGTCTCCCCATCCTGGAGCCCCTCTGTCCTTGGCCTTGGACATCTTGCTGCCCCTCGGCAGGGCTGGCTCAGTCGGTGGGGGGGGGTGGCAGTCCCCAACTTACATATAAATCTCTCTCCAGTCCCCCTGGCTGGAGGGTGGAGCAGGTTTGGTGGAAGAGCCTGGTGTCCTAACTAATGGGAGGCCATGTCAGTCTGTCCATCAGGGCCTCAGTTTCCCTTCTGTGACATGCCTGCCCCAGCTGTTTTCCAAATTGCCGTGGGCATGGGGCAGCATGGTGCAGGCACCGCGCTGGGCAGGTGCTGTGTCCCCAGGTGTGAAGAGGCCCAGGCTGGAAGAGGTGAGCCCTCGGCCACAGTGAGGAAGTGGCTTATGTTCCACCAGGAGACTTTCACCCAGGCCACGGGCACCGACTTTAAACTCCATCCTCCACCTCCAAACCCTGGGCAGGGTGGCTGAAGATGGATGGGAATATGTGTGCCACATCCAGAAGTTACACTTTTTCTAGTACCACATTAAAAAGTAAAATGAATGGTGAAATGGAATGTAAGAATGCATTTGTTGACTGAATGTTGCCTGCTCTGTAATACTAATTTATTAATCAGCTCATTAATTCCAGGAACCTACCTCAGCCCCTCCTCCGGCACTGAGCCGAGCAGAGGCCACCATGGACATCACAGGCTTGGCCCTTGTTCCCAGGGAGCTTCAGTCTAACCAGGAAGCAGATAAACAGGCAATGACCAAATCCCCTCCCACAGAAGGGAATGTTACAGAAACTAGCGCCAAGCTTAACGTCAGATTTACAACTTAAAAAAATGTATTTAAAGTCATTGTTAAGCATAAAATGCTGAATTTAATTTAGCCCTTTCTCGGTGGCTCAGAATCATCACTGTGAACAAAGAGTCACTAACTGGGGTCTGGAGAGGACCCCAGAGGACTCGGTATGAACCCCTGCTGGGGCAGTGTGGGGCGGAGGTGCCCTCGGGGCCATAGGGTTGCATACACGTATTTACTCTTGCTCTGAAGATGCTGGCCTCTTCTCTCTGCTGCAGGGCTCCTGCCTCTGACAGGGTCCAACTGCTACCTAAATTGCCATTTTTAATCTGTGGACTGTTTAAGAAAAATTAGTGCTGGTTGGAATTGTATGTAAAGTAGGAGTTTATGGGTCCCAAGCGAGGATTTCTCCAAGAGTCGAGAGTGTGCGTTCGTTGTCAGTGGTAGAGGTGTTCAGAGGTCTCCTCTGATGACTCCTGGCTGTTCTCAGAATATTTGTTCTCAGGATATTTATGCTCAGGTTGGAGGGTAAGCGAGGTGTTGTTATAAATACATAAGAGGCTTATTAATGGCCGGGCATGCACAGACTAATTGCTTCCTCCTGTTTATATACAATCAATCACTTCCACCGTTTGGAACCACTGGCAAGCGCAGAGTGGAAAGGAAAGAGGCCTGGGTGGGGATGGGTCTGGGCTGCTCCACCTTTCAAGTTCAAGCCTTTCTTGTACAAAAAAAAAAAAGAAGTCAGTGCTTCCTGTGATCCTCATTCACCTGGCCTGCTGCCCCCTTCTGCTCCCCCGCTTCCTGCAGACATTGCCCTCCTCACTCTTCATTGCGCCGCAGCCTCCGGAGCCCCAAACTCCACCTGATCCCGTCCCAGCACCACCAGCCACCCAGCTGCACAAATGAGAAATCTGAGCTTCATCTCTGTGCTCCCTTCTCTGCCGGCCATGCCTGTGGGACCTCCCTGTCCTGGGGGTTACACAGCTGACACAGCCCAAAGGCCCCTCCTCTCTCTCCGCCGTTCTAGCCTCACTGGCTATCATGGGCAGCTTCGGTGACTCACGGCTGGGTACGTTCTTGGGGGCCCTAACAGCCTCTCCACACCGCCAAAGGGCCATTCAGTGCACAAGACACCTGTCCAGCGCCCTCCACCCCCACCAGCCCTCCGCCAGTTGCTCTCTCCTTGTCACACCCGTGGGTCCCGGGATGTACATGCAGGTGGCCCAACCCGGCCTCCTTCCCCTGCTAGCCCCTGCTCACCATCACCTGCTGGCAGCCCCCGGCTCAGCTCGGGACCCTTCCTCGGAGAAGTGCCCTGGCCCAGTGCTCATGGGGCCGTGTCACCTCTGTCAGCACCTTGAGTGTTTGAACCCTCCCTGCATGGTGTGACCCTTCGACTCATGCCATCTTCCTGACGTCTGCATCAGGGGTGGCCCTCAGCACGCACTTGGTGCTTGGCCTGGGCCCCCTTTAGGCTAGCATGGGCTTGCAAGCAGGGCTGGGTTCTCTGTGCAATCAGGCAGGTCACACGCCCTCTTGGGGTGC